TCTGGGAAAGTTGTCCTGGTTGGTCGTTTATCTCAGTCCTGGCTCTGTGAAGAGGGCTGGAGAAGTTGTCATTCGCTGTCATCACTTGAGGGGAGCAATCTGGTCCCCATTTGACAATCACTCCTGCTCCAGGGTGCAGCCTCGTCATCGTAGGTAGCGGTCCTCATTTGAGGGGTCGTCTGTCCTGTGAGGCTCTGCTATTGCTTGGGGCTAGTTTTGATCCCTTGTTATAAAGATATTACTGATCATTTCTGTTGGTTCTGGAACCCAAGGTGACTGCAGGAGAGAGAGACTTGGAGCAAAGGGGACAGGTGCAGAACAAAGGCAGGGAGGCCAAGCTTTCCTCCTGCTTTTAGTTCCCTCTGGGCCCAAGTAAGGAGGCAGAGCTTTTCAGCAAAAGCAGTTTGTAAGCCCCTGTCACATAGAGCGGTGCACAGCAGAGTCAACAGCACTGCCTTAGCACCTGCCAGGTGGAGGGTGGCTCTTCACACCTGCATCATCGTGAAGCCCTGACCTTCAATTAATTACTGTGGGAATAATAATTACTGTGGGAACCTCGGAGAATCCATCCATTACTCTCTGGGTTTAAGAGCTCTTGATTCAGAGAAGGCATAAAATGAAGTTTTGGAAAAAGTGTCTTTCTGACATAATTTAGGTACTGTAACTTGATCAATTTTAAGGATATGACTCACTGGTTACTTGTGAATTATCAGGTTATGAAGCCATCAGTGCAGTGGCTTTTGTTTTTGTTTTCTTGCTGTGCTAGGGAATTGAACCCAGGGCCTCATCCACGGTAGGCAAGTGCTCTACTACTGAGCTCCACACACAGCCTTGCAACTTAATTTTATATTTCCACCATCCCTCAAAGAAATCTTGTACCCATTTGTAGTCAATCCACACTCCCAGCCTGTCCTGCTGGGACACTGCTTTGCGTCTCTACAGTCATGCCTCTTCCGGACAGTTCATATAAATGGAAGCATATGATATGTGACCTTTTGTGACTGGCTTCTTAGTATCATGTTCTCAAGCCTCATCCATGTTGTAGGATGTATCAGTACTTCAGTCCTTTTCATGGCTGAATAATATTTCACCACATGAGCGAGCCACATTTTCTTTATCCATTCATCAACCAGTGGGCATTATGGTTGTGTCCACTTTGGGGCTATTGTGAATAATGTAAAATGGCATGATTTTTTTTTCCAATCTTGAAAAGAAAAACTGCGCCTGCCATTATCACGGGTAAATAGCTACCACCAGTTCCATATAATCTGTACTTTTCCCCAAAGTATTGAGAAGCAGCTAGGTTAAACAATATTCATGGGGAGGTTAATTGCTACAACAGAGAGCCTTTGGACTGTGGGAGCCAGGGCCACGACCAGGCCATGTGGCACCTTTACAGAACTCTTAAAAAAATCCCTTTCTCAAGGTGCTTTTCTTCATCTACTGGAAAGTGTTATAGTGAACACACAAGTCTACAGTGACTAATGTGGACACTTCCTCCTAGAGTTATGCAGTGGACAGCTTGTACCACTGTCCATGGCAGCCCTGCAAGTGGGGTACAGTGGAAAAGATCCCCTCTCAGCTCTGGAGCCGTGTGGACTCAGAGCTGGTTCCATAGAGAAGTTGACTCCCAAATAATGTTTCAAGAATGGACACCGTGGCTCACGCCTGTAATCCTAGCTACTCAGGAGGCAGAGATCAGGAGGATCACAGTGGGAAGCCAACCCAGGCAAATAGTTCATGACATCTGATCTCCAAAAAAAAAAAAATCACACACGCAAACAAAAAGGGCTGTCAGAGTAGCTCAAGTTGGTGGGGCACCTGTCTAGCAAGTGTGAGGCCCTGAGTTCAAACCCCAGTACTGCCTCCCCAAAAGAATTGAAAACAGGTATTCGAGCAAAAACTTATACACGGAAGTCCACAGCATTGCTGCCCACTATAGCCAGAGTCATCCAGATGTTCATCAACAGATGAGTGAATAAATAAAATATGGCCCATCCATATAATGGAATAGTATTTAGCTGTGAAAAGAAATGAATACTAATCCATGCTACAATGTGGATGAAGCTTAAAAATATGCTAAGCGAAAGAAGCCAGACACAAAAGGTCCTGCATTGTATGGTTGTGTGACCCCCATTATGAGAAACATCCAGACTAGGTGAACCCGGAAAGCAGATTGGTGGTTGCCAGGGGCGACAGCATCGGGGAGGAGTGGAGACTGATGGCCTAATGGGTACCAGATTTTATCTACAGGTGACAAAGTGTTTTGGAACTAGGTAGAATCAATACTTGTGTGTCATGGTGGCTGCTCTGAGATGATTAATTGGTGTTACGTGACTTTCACATCCATAAAAAGAATATTTGGGGGGAGGGGAAGATGTGGAGGGCGGTCGGGAGGAGAGCATCTTGTGCACACCTGGAGGCGCCCCGCTGAGGACCTTGCTCTCAAGTCAGACACAGCTGCTGCAGCTCAGGGGAGGAACCAGGATGCCTCAGGGCATCAGAGTTTCCCACACTGCATGCAGCAGTACCCACATGGAGTCCTTTCTGCCTGTCACCAGCTCTGCACGCTTATGTTTCCAATGGGAATATCCCAGGCCAGAGGCCTCCAGGGGTCCCCAGCACAGGGCCTGCTCCCCCTCTGGGGGTGAGCTGTGAGCCTCTGACCCTATAACCCTCTCTTCTCCAGGCAAGGCCTCTCCAGGTTGCTGGGAAAACTCGCCTCTGTCTCCAGGGCAGATGGAACAGCCCACATCTGCCAGTCTAAAAGTCCTTCCTTAAAATAGTGGAGGTGGGGCCAGGCATGGTGGTACATGTCTGAAATTCCAGCTATGCAGGAGGCAGAGGGAGGAAGATCATAGATCAAGGTCAGCCCCGGGGAAAAACATGAGACCCCATCTGAAAAATAACAGAAGCACAAAAGGGCTGGAGGTGTGGCCCATAGGCCAGAGCAAGTGTGAGGCCCTGAGTTCAAATTCCACAGAGGCAAAAATAAAATGAATGAAGAGTGGAGATGTCTGGGCCATAGAGGGGAGCCCCTCTATCCACCGTGTCTGTACCAGTTACCAGTTTTTAGCCAGTTTTCCAAACTGCTGTGTCCTTAGCTCTTCCTCCCACAGGGAGCTGGTTGTTGGGCCACTCATCTCCCCATTCACCCACATCCACCCCTATCTACCCCCATCCATCCACCCATTCCCCATCCATCTATCCCCTACCCATCCATCCCCCATACATCCATCTACCCATCCCCCATACATCCTCCATCCATCCCCCCTCCCCCATCTATCCCCCATTCCCAATCCATCCATCCTTCCATCCCCCATCCATCCACCCACCCATCCATCCATCCATCCATCCATCCATCCATTCATCCTCCCTCCCATTGATCCTCCCGTCTTGGCCTTTCTTATTCAACATAATGATCACCAGTTCCTTCCATTTTCCTGCAGATGACATCATTTATTCTTCTTTATGGCTGACAACACTCCATTGTTTATTGCACCCCATTTTCTATATCTGCTTTTCAGTTGATGAGCACCTGGGCTGACTCTACAGTTTGCCTATTGTGAATAGCACTGCAATTGACACGGGGGAGCAGGTGACTCTACTGTGTTGCATTCCTTTAGCTATGCACCCAGGATTTGTTTAGCAGGAGCAGAGGTCTATTTTTAGTTTTTTATTTTTATTTTTATTTAGAGAATACTTTATTAGTTTCTGTAATCAAACCCACGTAGATAAGACCTTACATATTTAATACTATTTTTAGTTTTTTGAGGACCCTCCATACTGAGAGTGGTTGCACTAATTTACCTTCCCACCAGCAGTGTATGAGGGTTCCTTTTTCTGCATCTTCACCAGCATTTGTTGCTTGTTTTCTTGACTGGCCGTTCTGACTGGAGTAAGGTGGAATCGCAGTTTCGTTTTGATTTTTATTTCCTTTCTGGCTAAGGATGTCGTACATTGCCTTGTGTATTTCTGAGAACTGTCTATTCAATCATTTGCCATTTATTAATTGGATTATTTATTCTTTTGGTATTTAATTTTTGGAGCTTTTGTACATTCTGGGTATTAATTCACTTGCAAAGACTTTTTTTTCCTGTTCAGTGGTTGCCTTTCATTCTGGTAATTGCTTCCTTTGATGTGCAGAAGCCTTTAAATCTGATGCAATCCCATCTGTCAATTCTCGCTCTTATCTACTTAATCTTTGACATTTGACATCCTCTGCATCCACCAGGTTTCTCTGGTGTCCAGCAACAAACACTAACTGTGGTACCTTACAGAGGACAGGAGCTTATAGCTGGTCACTGAGGACTTTCAGATCCAGCCCCCAAAATGGCAGAAACCAGGGCTGCTTGGGCTCTGAGGGAAGGAAGCAGGGGCCTCAGGGCTCCGTCCACCTTCTGTTCTTCCTCATCCTTGACTGAGCTCAGAGTTTCAGGCCAGAGTATTCAAATGTTACAGACAGGAGCACATTCTTACCTCTTTGCTGGGGACCAGGAGAGCCCTACCAAGACTCTGTGTGATGGCGGGGATGACATGGGGACTGTCTCCCAGAGGAACACAGATGCTCTTCCCCAAGGGAGAGAGAATGGTGCTGGGTGTTCACAAAACAGAACTGTCCATGACACCATATCCAGATGAGGGAGCCGGGGCATGGAGAAGTTTGAGAATATTTGCCTGGGACCGCAGAGCCCAGACATGGCCACATGGGAGCCCCGGCCGTGTGGACGCAAAGTCTGATCTGTCCATAACCTATTCTGGGTAGGGTGGGTCCAGGCTTGGCTGGGTAGGTCAAACTCTAGCCTCTTCCTGGGGCCACCTCGGGACTCTAGCTGCCCTCACGGCTTTGGCCTTGACCCTGCCCCCATGTCCTGGGTAATGAGCCATCAGGACCTTGGACCATCCTAGTGGGACCAGTGTGCGGGAGGGCACAAGAGGGGCTGAGTGCAGACCCTCAGCTCGGAGCTCCTTCTAACCCCAGCTCTGTTTTCTGTCCACAGATCGGGAGGACCAGTCCATTCTCTGCACGTGAGTAGAGCTGCTTTTTCCTTCTTGCTGGAGTTGAGAGCCAGTTAATGAAAGAAAGAGACCATGAGGGCAGGGGTCTTCAGTTTATCCACTGCTCCAACTGCCTCGCCGGTCCTGGCACAAAGTAAACGGTCATGAAACACTTGGGATAAGTGTTGTCACACAGAGGCAGGCTAAGCTAAACACATAATGAGAGCTGGTGGCACTTTGGTCTTAAAATTTCAGCCTGCTTTCTGTCTTTCAGAAGTGCTTCTCAAGATGTTCCTTACAGAAAGCTTCCAAGATTATAAAGAAATGCTCAGGCGATAAAGATCCATTATGTGCCAAGTGCTGGATATCCAGGGGTGCGAGGCATGGGGGCTGGGTGGTGGATGAGATTGAGGAGGATCTCAGAAGGTGATGGGTACATTGTGGTCCATCCATCCATCTGTCCATCCATCCTCCCATTCACCCTCCCATCTATCCCCCTCCCGTCCATCTACCCTCCAACTCATTATCCATCCATCCATCCATCCTCCCACCCATCCATCATCCATCCAGTCACCATCCATCTATCCTTCCATTGGTCCTCCCTCTCATCCATCCATTCTCCCAGCCATTCATCCTCCTTTCCATCCTACCCATCCTCCAATTCATCCTAAATTCATCCATCCATCCATCCATCCATCCATCCACCAATCCATCCATCCATGCATCTATCCACGAATCCATCCATCCATGCATCCATGCATCCATGCATCCATCCATCAATCCATCCTTCCAAAAAATTAAGCCCCTGCTGACTGTCAGGTTGAACAGACCAGGAAGGCCTGTGAGGAAGCGGGGCTCCTGCGGGCTGAGTACTGCCCTGGCATCTATGGGGCAGAGCGTGGATGTGAGAATGCGCGCCATGTGTGTCTTGCCCATCAATAGACGTGGCGCTGATCTCTGCTGTTGGCTGAAGACTCTGGTAACTGTTCCCATGTTCTTCACTGGGGACAAGGGGAGCACCAGAACTTGATTACTCTCTGGGACTGTAAGAGGCACGGGAAAAAGATTTAGACAATTTGTGATGAGCCTGGGGTTGGTGGGGATGGAAAACTGGGAAATAATAGAACAAGATTTTCGTTAGTCCTGGGAAAATCCAGAGGTAGGGTAGGGAGGAGGAGGAATCAGGGTGGGCTGGTCAGCCACTGTGCCCGGCGTCATAATGCACACCTGGAGTGTTTGTCTCATCAGAATAAGGACAGACAGCCTTCCTTATCCATGGCTTCACACCTGCACATCCAACCACTTGCAGATCAGAAATATTTAGGACAAAAGTTGCGTCTGTACAGATGCTCCCTTGTCATCATTCCCTAATCAATGCACTGTATAACCACTCACACAGCATTTATACCGTATCAGATAGTACAAGTCCTCCAGAGGCAATGTAAACTGTACGGGAGGATATGTTGGTTCTATGCCATTTTATGTAAGGGACTTGAACATCTGCTTTTTGGGGTCTGTAGAGGGTTCTGGAACCCTGGAAGATCCATCAGGGAGGAGTTTATGTCCCAAATTGGCCCTTAGGGAAAGGGAGGTGGCTGAGTGGTAGCTGAATTCTCATCTTCCACGGTGGGAATTCAAAATTCGATGCTTTACAATGAACAATCAAGAGCTAGTGCCAGACATGGTTGTGTACAGCTGTAGTCCTTGAACTCAGGAGGTGAAGATGGAGGCTAGCCTGGGCTGCATTGCAAAACAACAAAAGAAAAACTAGCTAGTGATCTACACTACTAGATATGTGACTCCCAAAGTAAAACCATTTGCTGGTGTTTATCCCCTGCCTGCCCCAGTTCCTAGAGGCCACCAGCATCCCTTGGCTTATGGTCCCTTCCTCCATCTTCAAAACAAGTGCTATAATATCTCTGCTTTTGTTTTTCTCCTGAGATACTGAGGATGGAAGCCAGGGTCTCTCACCTGCCATTTGAGCCCCACCCCAGCCCTCAAATGACCCCATTACTAATTTAGTTACCTGGCTGCTGTCTCCCTCTGCTGGGATTTTGAGGATGGACACATCACGCTGCTTTCACAGAGCTGTGACCCACAAGTCCACACAACCAGGTTATAAAGGAAATCCCCGTCCTGTCCAACGTTTGTTTGAAAATCCCTCCTGCCACCCAGAACCATGAATAGCTTACTAAATGGTATTTTGGCTGTGGTTACAATCAGCCGAAGGGACTCGAGGACCCACAAGTTGACAGCAAAGTACGAGCTGATGGAAAGAGAGGTCAGGAGAAGCCAGGTTGGGACTGACAATGTGCTGCAGGGGGTTTATATAGCCCAGGAAGCAGACCCAGAGCGAGAGTCATTTGTAGACTTGTGTAGCAGGAGTCTCATCCAGGTAAGCAAGTTGGAGGCCCTGGTAGAGGATCTGGGACATGGAGAGGCCAAGATGGACTTCTGAGTTCAACAGAGTGAATTAAGAGGGAAGTGGAGGCTGAGACACAGCTCAGTAGAGAGCACTGGCCCAGCACTTGCACAAAAGAGACAGAGACAGACAGACAGACAGGAGGGTGGTGGGACATGAGATCGGAGGACAGTGGGACCTCTAGGCTCTGGAAGGTTATGCTTTTCTCTAAAAGGGATGGGGAGGGGGGCTGAAGGTGTGGATCCAGCAATACAGCACTTGCCTAGCAAGCATGAAGCCCTGAGTTCAAACCTCAGTTCCCGCAAAAAAAAGAAAAGAAAACAGTACCACCAATAAATAAATAAACTTCAAAGGGGATGGGAAAACACAAGGGACTTAATTCAGGGATTGGCAAACCCTGACCAGTGGGCCCTATCTGGCCCCTGTCTGCATTTTGTCAATAAAGTTTTATTGGAACAGTGCACACATGCTCTCTGGTTCACACACCTCCTTTCACACTTCTGTGGCAGGGTCAAGTCATTGTGATGAGACTTACACGGCTCACAAAGCCTGACATAGTTACTGTCTGGCCCTTTGCAGAAATGGTTTGTCAACTCCTGGCGTGAGCAGTGGGAAAATGTGGCAGGTCTAGATTTTACTGCTAGTGTGAACTTGAAGATGCAAAAGTGCCAGGATAGAAGCTGTTTTTAGGAAGGTAATGAAAGCCTTGCGTCACTGTGTACCAGGCCCGGGGCTGACTGCTGTCCATGTACTCACTCATTAGATCCTCATAACAGCCACGCAAGATAAGTGGTTTTATTATACTCATTGTATAGATATGTACACAGCGGGATGGTTGGTTAAATGACTTACCTGAGGTCATACAAGTAACTGTCAGAGCAAGGATTTGAACTCAGACCTTCTGGCCTGGGAGGCCATTGTGCCATTCAGATGTTATGGGGGAGGAAGGCATTGCTTCTGTCAGAAGGAGCCAGAGATAATCTTCAAACTAGAGGCCACGCTTAACTGGGCTTTGCAGGATGTGCAGGAGTTGGACAGCACAAATGCCAGAGGGCACCACCAGCCGGCAGTAGAGGTAGGATGTCACATGCAGAGCAGGGACTGAACAGCTCTGAGATCCAGAACTCATTGGCTTTTTAACCGAAGGTACAGATTTGAATATGGGGCTCGACTCTGGGTGCCAGGACCCATTACAGAATGGACAAAATCATGCAAAATGAAAATGCATAGAAGTCACTCAAAAGTCATTCAGAGCCTTGCCATGGCAGCACGAGGGGCCCACATCCTGCAGTCCCTGTGAGGCTGTGCACTGATGTGGCCCCTTCTGCAGGGGGCGAAGGATGGAGCTGCCATTGGGACGGGGGTTCCTTCCAGCCAGGGGGGCTGGGCCGAGGGACAGAACCTGGCCACATCTGGCCACATCTGACCACGTCAGGTCCTCCAGGAGGACAAAGCTGGGCACCACGTTCCCGGGGACCAGGACGGCATCTTCTCCCTGAGGTCAGGGTCAGGCAACAGATATTCTTGTGTCCTGCAGCCCAAGCACAGCTGTTTTTGGCAGAGGCTTGGGGAGATTTATTTTTATCAGAAAACTTGGAAGTGGCTGAGCCCACAGGGGAGAGGCAGGTCCCCAAGGCTTTGTTTCACTCCCTGCTGGGGTCTTTGTAAAGGGAGGAGGGGGAGAGGCTGGGGCGAGGTGGGCAAGGAGGAGGTTGTGGGGAGAAAGACGGGGCGGTGAGGATCGGGGTTCTGCGGGTTATTTATTTGCAAGCAAGGCTCTCCCACCTCTGTGGGATCTTAGGCTCTGTGTCAGAGCTTAGGCTCGGGCCACCCACAGAGTCAGTTTCAGAATTTTCTCCCTTTCTTCTTCCTCTGATCAGAGCCCAGCTACTTCAGTTTGGGGTGAAGTATGTCGAATATTTTTTGACATTAGCCCTAGTGAAGTAATTCATACTATGATGTGAATGACTGAGTGCCTTAGTGCATGGATCCTGGTTATGTTTTCAAAGAGTCTGTCAAGGCAAGGGACTGGGGGTGGAACTCAGGGCCTTGTGCTTGCTCGGCAGGCACACTACCACTTGAGCCACAGCACCAGCCCTTTGTGCTCTGCTTATTTTGGCGATTGCTTTTTTTTTATTTTGGCCTTGCTTTTTGCCCAGGCCAGCCTGGACTGCAATCCTCATATTTTAATCTTCCCACCACAGCCGGGATGACAGGCCTGAGCTACCACGCCCAGCATTTTTCCATTGAGATGGGATCTTGATAACTTTTTCCCCTGGGCTGGGCTCAGACCTTGATCCTCTCCATCTCTGCCTCCCACGTAGCTTGGGGTGACAGGCGTGTGCCACTGCATCCAGCTGTCAGTTTAGATGAGGTCTCACTAACTTTTTGCCCAGGCTGGCCTCAAACCTTGATCCTTCTGATCTCAGTCTCCCAAGCAGCCAGGATTACAGGTGTGAGCCACCAGCGCCTGGCCTGATTCCTAGAGTATTCTGAAGAGCTCCAATGCAGCAGGGCTTCCCTCTGTCTTTCCCTTTTTCCTATTTATCAGAATAAAAGAGTAGAAAGACAGAGCATGGGCTCTGATGTCAAGTGGAGCCAAGTTCAAATCCTCAGTTTCTCCAGGGTGATGATTGGTGCAATCAATTCCTTCATGAGGTGGCCGGGAGGATTAAATGAGATGTGTGAGCCCCACATCTAGCACAGAGCAGACATTGAACAAATATGAGTTCTTCCTGCTTCTCCCCTCCTCCTCTGGCCTTTGAGAGCAAGTTGGGATTTGGGCCTGCATCATGGAGCAGTGAAGAGTTCTGATGGCAGGAACCGGACCTGCCTTTCAATTCTCATCGTGCCTCGCTCTGTGACCTAGGGCAAGTTGCTTACCCACTCTGGGCTAGATATCCTCTTCTGTAAAAACATGGAGGCCATCAGTCCTGTCTCCAGGCAGGGCAGGAGGAGGATAAAGGCGATTATGCCTGTGAAGCAATTAGCAAAGCGTCTCCCCACTCTAAAAAAAAAAGTTAATTCTCTCACTCAAAAGTAAAAAGAATAATGTTTTAGACTCTGGTTTCCCCTACAGGAAAGTAGGGCAATGTCTCCAAACTGCTTCTGAGGCTGCAGAAATTCTGTGGCCATTTGAAGGCAGAGGCTATCGGGAGGGGACAGCACAAAGCAGGTGTCCCTGGCCACCTGCTGCTTGATTTCTGGACATGAGACTCACAGGTCTAACCAGCGACTTGGGGCACGTGCTTCATTCATTCTTTTCTTTTTTAGCCCTGAGCAAAATTACCAAGGGGCCCATGGCAGAGAAATTAATTTCTCCTTTTCCTAATTAGGAAGAAATGCAGAGCTGCCCTGCCCTTGGTGGCACCAGTTCAGTACAGAGAACCTTGAACTGACCTCAGGGTGGAAGAATTCTTTTCCAGACTTAAAAAAGAAGTCTCTTTTATGTTTTAAAATACTAAGCGAGCTCAGAAAATGAGTTTAGGCAATCAAAGGAAAAATAAAACAAAACAACAGGAGGAGAAGATGAGGAGGAAAGGTTTGGGAGCCAGAGGCACTTCTGGAGGCCTTGGATGGAGTAGCCCCTCCACGTTGATCTCTGGTGGCCAAGAGAGGTCACCAGAGGTGACTCAAGAAGGGCACCATGCTAAAAAATCTACCCCTTATCTCCTAAGAGGAGACTTCCGATAAGCAAGACAGTGTCCTGCTGATTGGAGCCTGTCAGTCATGTACACTTTAGCAGGAATTACTCCAACCAAGGTTTTCCTTTTGGTCATTACTAGCTATATGATGCAGAGGATGAAGGGGCTTGCATCTACCTTCCCGCAGTAGGAAAACCTGTTCCTTTTCCCCTAAGCTTCACCTTAGGTCCTAGTACTGTGAGAGGTACTTAAGGTCTTCCTTGAAAGCCACCTCTTGCCTTAAACATAGACAATTCCAGCCAGGCATGGTGGTGTCTGCTTGTAATCTCAGCAATCTGGAGGCTGAGGCAGAAGGATTTCAAGCTCAAGCCCATCCTGGGTTACATAGCGAGACCCCAACCTCAAAAAAAAAAAAGCAGACACTTCCAAACAGACCTAAATTTGGCCTTTGTAGCAAAACTCAGGTTTTCCTTTTCACTGGTGTCCTTTCTCTCATGCTGTTTGGAGGAATTGACTGAGTATTAAACCCAAGCACCGATTGCTTAGGTTTAGTTACTGGGGTTTGAGGCCCATCTCAGCCCCTACCAGCAAGTCACAGTTTCTCCCCTCCCCTGATGGCAGTGATGACGGTGATCTTCCTGCCTCACTCAGTTCCCCTGGAAAAACAAGGCAAGGGGCAACCTGAGTGGTCACTCCCGAGGTCACAGTCACCCTGTCTTTCAGAGGCGAGTCTGGAGCAGGCAAGACAGAGAACACCAAGAAAGTCATCCAGTACCTGGCTGTGGTGGCCTCGTCCCACAAAGGCAAGAAGGACACCAGCATCACGGTGAGTGACCAGGCCTTACCGGACTGACCAGGTGCACGCCCGCGGTCAGGACGCAGTCTGTGTCTGGTGGCAGTGCCCTGGCGCCCTGGGGGACCGCTCTGTGGTGGATTTGGTGGGGTCTGCATCTGGTGTCCCTCAGCCCTGCTGAACACATCCCCCCTGACAGCCCTGGGGACATATCTGCCCCCGTGGCTCTCAGCTCACATCAGGGCTTCTCAGCAGTGCCTCTTCTGTCATTTGGCCAACAGCTCTGTCATGAGGACACCCTGAAACACGTCTAGCCATGGTCCCTGGTCTCAGCCCCCTAGATGCTGGTGCCACCTGCCCCCTTTATTAGGATATGAAACGCTGTCACATCCCCCAGGTGGGACGTGGTCCCCCAGATTAGGAGCCATGCCTCTAAGTGGCTGTCTGAGATGCACTTCGGATTTGCTCCATCTTTTGTATCCCTGTCCCCCAGGAGTGAGGATGTTGGGGTCACTTGGCACAAGGTCTGTGGCCCCATGCACTTCAGCAGCTATTGGCTGAGTCCCTACCGCGTGCCACATGTCCCTAGGACGGGGCCCACATTGGTACTGACTGAGCTTCCAGGCAGGTGGGGAAAAGTCACAGCGTAACCCTGGGACCAACCCCAGGTGACCGAGTGTGAGGGGCTTGCAGGGAAGGAAGGGCAGGTTTCCAAAGCGAGCCCTTCATCCCTGACCTTCTGTGTGCTCTGCGCGTCTGTCCCAGGGAGGGGACAAGCACTCTGACCCCGGGTCCTGCCGGAGCCTCTGGCTGAAGGCTGGAGGACAGGACTATGGTGGAACAGAGCTCTGAGTGTGGTAGGGATGTCGTTCTGTATCTTGCTTCAGGCCCTCAGAGGTGACAGTGGGACAGGCACAGTGGCCAGGGTGTCGGAGGCCTCCAGAGATGAAGCGGGGTCGGGGAGATGCAGGTGTAGTTTGGGGACCTTCTTCCCTCAGACAAATAAATGCAGGGGGACAAATGGCCCCCAAATTTGTGCGACAGCAAAAAAGACAGCTAGCCTCTCATTGCCTTGCCTTTTCCTATACAGAAAAATAAGAAATAACACTTAAAAGACTGACTCATCTTTACCAAGGCTACCACATGCTGGACACTGTTTTCCTGCATTTAGAAGCACATCTCAGGCTGGGTGTGGTGGTTCACACCTGCAATCCCAGCTACCAGGAGGCAGAGATAGGAGGATCAGGGTTCGAGGCCAGCCAAGGCAAAAAGTGCGAGACACTGTCTGAAAAATAACTAAAGCAAAAAAGAGTTGGAGGAGTGGCTCAAGTGATAGAGTGTCTACCTAGCAAGTGGGAGGCTCTGAGTTCAAATCCAAATACTGAAAATAAATAAATAAATAAAAATTCCCATCAGCTACCGTTTTAGAGTCCACTGAGCAGATCTCCAAGAAAGGAGACCAGGGAGGCCAGTGAGCAGAAGGGACACAGAATGGAGGGGGAGGAGCTGCTGTCCTAGAGTCTGGGGAGTCCAGGCCTCTGGCGGGTGGGGTGGGCTGAGAGCACAGATCCTGGCAGGTGTACGAGACTGAAATAACACTGACGTTTGTTTCATACCAAATTGTTCGGCGACAGCAAGGCCCATCTCTTGCCTACGTGAGTAACTGAGAGTGTTTTCCTGGTGTGACGGGAGGCATGGCGTGGACTCAGACCTGCATGCTCTCTTGCACCCACGGTGTCCCCTAGTGGATGGCAGGACGGATCAGGCCCTGAGTCCCAGGTCCCAAGCCAGCAGACAAATATTGTCCCAAGAGTGACCCATGCCAGGGTGCAGTGTGGGGGTCTGCTAGTCACTCATGAGACCCCCCCCATTGAAATCCCCAGTTCAGAATATGGACCTGTACCCTTCCCCCAAGCCCACCATTGGTCCCCCTGACTGCAGTGACCTGAAGACGTCCATCCCCACCTGGCTGAGCGTTTTAGGACCGCCAGGCCCCAGTGCTTTCCTGGCTTGATTGATGGTCAGCCGGCAGCCCGGCTGTGGCATGTCATCGTCCCTGCGCTCCAACCCCAGCCCTGTCCCCCGCACCTGTGTGTCCTCGTGCATGTGTGTGCAGTGCGTGTGATTCTGCATGCTGGTTGCTTGACCAGAGGCTTCAGAAACTGTCGTGGGCTCCTGACGCACTAGCTTTGGTGGTGCGGTAAGGCCCCAGCTACGTGACACGACCTGGTCCTGTGTGGACCTCTGCATATGTGACCTCATCTCTAATGCAGAGCTTGGGGGCTGACACGTGGGGCCCAGCCTGGAGGAGACCCTTGGGGGTCTTCCTTGCCCTAGAAAGAGTGCACTCAATCATTTTAGGTATTGTTGATCGGGGAGAAGCAAACTCTTTTGCTGAGCTTTTTCCACTGCTGTGTGACTTTGATCCAGTCACTTAACTGCTCTGGGCTGCAGTCTCATCATCCATTAAATGAGGTCTCCATGTTTAAAGCTCTTCCCAGACGACTTTGCAATCCACCTGCTGGAATTCCAGACAAGGGAGGGTTTAGGGGTGGATCTTTGGGACCCCCAAGTTTGTCTGGACAGAAGCAATTCCAAGGAAAGCCTTTGGTTCTCCTTGTCGGTGTCCACAGTCAAGGGATTCCACTTGGAGCTGGGGTTTCCATGGAGACGAGGCTTTTGCTCCATCTTGCCCTGCCGGCTGCAAAAAAGGAGGGCATAAGTATAAAAACCCAGAGAAATAAGTAGTGGCTTCCTGTCCCCTGCACCGCCCTGAGGACAGCTCTTCTGTCCCTCCTTGGTCTGGAAGAAGGAGAGGGCTCTGCCCCTGTTTCCCCTTCTGGACGCCATCCCAGCTTCTCTGCAGCCTGGGAGGGGAGTAGAGGCAAGGCAGAGGGAGGAGGAGGAGAAACCTCAGAATCCAGCGTGTCCCAGAGGCAGGACGGGGCCACTGCAGCTGCTGAGCTCTGGGGCTGGGCAGAGAGCAGTTCCCTGCTTTTTGGCATGACTTACCTCCTCAATGGCCCTTTGCTGCCACCATTAATCACATGGCCGCGTTTGTGCAGAAAGGCCAGGAGGCTGTGCGCAGTGTCAGCTGCATTTAACCTTGCTGATCGCAGCTCAGGCAACCTGCTTTGAAGGTTTGTTCTGCAGTCAGTTCAAAGGATTCCTGGGATTTGCGCCTCCCTTCCTTAGCTGCCACAGGAAGAAACATAGTAACCTTTAAAAATTGCACAATGGAGAGAAGGATGGCAGTGACTTAGCTTGAAGAAGGCTTCTTGTTAAACCTGAGCTGTTGTAGGATCGCCATGTACGGCAGGGCAGTTGTGTACTGCACAATTCCAGGGGTTTGCCAATTACTAGGATGTAAATGACATCCCCAGCGTTGTGCAGTGTGACACAAAAGTAGTCTTCCCAGGGAACAAGATGTCTTAGCTGTCAGAAAGCTTTTGTGAAGTCATCCAATAAACCTGGACATTCATCAGTGTCTGAGAGAGGACAGGAGGAGGAGGAGGAGGAGGAGGAGCCTGTGGCTTGAGGCCAGATGTTGGTGACATTTCTCTAGGGTCAAATGTCAGGACCCAGGTCTCTTTCTCCAATAACTAGATGTGAATGAATTTTAGGGAGAGCTGGAGAAGCAGCTTCTACAAGCAAACCCGATCCTGGAGGCTTTTGGTAACGCCAAAACTGTCAAGAACGACAACTCCTCGCGATTCGTAAGTAGCTCAGCCGTTCCGGCTTTCCACAAAAGATCCGGTCCCGGGTGGCATCTCCTGGCTGGGAATGCAGACATAAATGTGTGTGTGGGAGTGTGGGGGGGTGTTTGGGCCTGATGGGGTAGAGCTGGACATCATTGAAGAGCTTCCCTCCGTGTCCTTCTATCCAGTCTCCAGTCACTCATTCATTCATTCAACAATTGACATTCATAATTCATTTAACAAAAATTTACATAGCACCTAATATTTGCTCAACTTTTTTATTTGCAGTGCTGAGATTTGAACTCAGGACCTTGAGCCTTCTAGGCAGGTGCCCTATCACTTCATTCACATCACCAGTCTTTTTTGCATTAGTTTGGTTATTTTCAAGGTAGGGGTCTCATGCTTTTGCCCAAGGCCAGCCTCAGACCAAGGTTCTCCTACCTCTGCTTCCCATGTAGCCTAAGCTACATGGATCACAGGTGCCTGGCTTGGTTTTTGAGATAGGGTCTCGCTAACTTTTTGCCCCGGCTGGCCTTGCCTTCAACTGTGATTCTTCCATCTCTGCCTCCTGAGTACTTGGGATTACAGGCATGCACCAACACACCCAGCCTGTGCTTGACTCTTACATCCAATATTCATTCGTTTATTCATCAAAGCATAAATCGAACACCTCCTGCATAACATTCACATACATCCTTCACTAAATATTTATTACGCACCTACTGTGTACCACCATTTCAGTAGGCATTTTTTACATGCACCATTCTCTTTTGTGTTTTCCATTTGCAAAGTTAATTTTTATTAAGTGCCTACTGTGTACTAGACACTGACCTAGATTTGCCAGATCACAGTGAACAGTGTCATGAATGTTATGGTCTAGTTAGGGAGGTGACAGTCAAAGTGAGGCAGGAGGCACCACCTTCCCACACACATCCCCAAGGTTCTCCTACTTCTCCCTTGAGGCAGGAGAACATGGGAAGGAGGTGACCGATGACCTGCAGGCAAGAACAATCTGTTGCATAAAAGAAGCAGTGGCCTCTGTAAGAGAGTCCAAAAGACGTTGATGAGGGCAGATTGAAAGGCTGCATCTGGTTCCCAGAAGTTGGGGGGGAGCTCTGTGGTTTGTGGGTGTCCCTTGGGGCTGCCCCTCCCTGGGGTGGAGCCCCATGGGAAACTCCCTGCAGACACCTGAGCTCTGTCAACTCAGAGCCACCCGTTCTGCACCTTGCCTGTCCACACCAGGCTCCCCAGCCCTGTGAGCCCCAAGTCCAATTTTTAATAACAGTCCTGCAGTGTCCCCTTTTCTTGCTTGCAACAATGTCACCTACTACATACATCAGATTAATGCAAATCAGCACGGTGCTTTACCTAGAAGGAGAAATACAGTAAGACAATTCATAATAAAAGTTTCAGGACTGGGGGTGGCAAAGTGCTTTCCTAGCAGGCCACACCCAGAGCATTCTTGGCCATTGTCCATGACAGCAGCAGCCCCCACCATCACGTGACAGACAGGTGGTCACCTCTCAGCCTTTAGAATCCCATGGCAGACGCGCCTTTGCTGGACTGTGCCGCGTTTGTGTGTTGCGAACCAGCACATCATCAGCAAGAGCAAATTCAAGGCTAGCCCCTAAAATGCCTTGGCCACCACCTTCTTGGGAGCAGAGGTGGCCAAAGCTGGGTCCTTATCACCAGCAGGCTCCCTGTTGCAGCAGCAAGGGGTGTGACCGTCCTCGGTCACTCTAGTATGTGTTTACTGACGTTTGAAGATTTGCACAAGGCCTAGGGGATTGTATCCACCCAGGTGACCTTCTTGCATGTCGTGATAGGAAAAGGGTGTGATCCTTAGTCACTGCTGAGAAGGAAGGAGCAGGCGCTGAGCCTTGGGATGCAAGATGGGCCCTGACTTTGGATCTGTGCCAGCTGTTTCCAGAGCAGGGGTCAGGTGACCTCTCCAGGAGAGACACAGATGGACCCTGGGGCAGGGGGTGGCCCGCTTGGCCTTCAGGACTGCTAGGCAGGGCCCACTGGGACAGGGGTTCAGGGGAGCCTGAACCCACCAGTCCTACCCACCAGTCACAGAGGCAGGGGTGTCCACAGCCTGAGGGGTTCTAGGCAAGCAGGGGGGTGGGGAGGGCGCCCCAGCCACCTCATGTGCAGACTCCCACCTCTGACTTACAGCTCTGCCTCTGATTAGCAATGTCACCATAGGTCAACCTCAGTTTCCCCCCTTTAACTTGGGGACAGCCATGACGGACTTAGATTTGGTACCAATGCCAAGCAACATTGATCTGTGAGACTCTTTTACAAGTCTCTGATCTATGCAAGGCCTGGGACTGCCCAGCTCAGCGGTGGGGCTCTGGGTATTTGTGAGAGAGTCCCCCATCCCCCCACATCTCCCATCCCCCACTCACCGTGACTGGGGCCAGTGCTGAAGCTGGCCTCACCATGAGCTTGGTTTCCTGTTGGCAGGGCAAGTTCATCCGAATCAATTTCGACGTCACCGGTTACATTGTCGGAGCCAACATTGAGACCTGTATCCTTTTGGCAAAGCTGGGTCACGTGGGACCCGCGCCACCACTGCCACCCTTGTACTCAGGGGCCGAGGTGGCCCAAGAAAGACACATTCAACCCATCTTTCCCCATTCTCTTGAGTTCCTTCCAGAACAATCCTCCTTGGGTCTGTTTTCCTTTTACAGCTGACCCGTGGGGTGGGGTCCCATTCTTGCAGGCCTTAGGTTTGAACCCCAAGCAGCCTGTGTTTGATTCTGGATTGATTTCCCCCTAGCTGAGTGGCTAAGGGCCAGTTACTCAACCTCTCTGTGCCTTGTCAGTGATGTGGGAGTGATAATGGCACCCACCTTGTAAAGATGTGTGACAATAAATAGGGTTGGTTTTAATTTTCCTTGAGCAAGGGCTGGTTAAGCCTCGGCTCCTGTCTGACCTTCATTACTTGGGTCCTTGTCTCCTCAGCGAGTCTTGTCCAAGGTCAAATGCACAACAAGGCAGATGGGGAGATGGTTCACAACCTCTTGTCCTTAGACAGTTGTCTGTGACTGACTCCAGTCCACAGGTAGGAAACCATGGGAACAGAAGTTTCCAGAGATGCTAGCTGACACGACTGAGCACCTCGGTCCATCCAGCATCTGGCTGGTGACTGAGCTGAGTGAGAAATTTCTGGATTTTGTAGCCAGTTCTGGGGCTCAGGGATTTTTTAACCTCAGAAGTACTGCAGGTGGCCCTCAGCTTCAAGGTGCCAGCTTTTCCCGTCTGCTTATGGGGCTTGAGCTTGGCAGGGGTGGGACCCAGAGGCTGTTTCTCAGTTGCATTTGTTGCCCTGGATAAGGGGGTGGACTGTGGAGGGGCCCAGCACTGAATCCAGTTCTCAGCCCAGCTTTAGTAGCTGTGGGACATTGGGCAAGTCACTCAACCTCTCTGAGCCTCAGGTCTGTCTCCTATAGAATAGGAGTGATAGCAGGCTCTACTCTGTGGAGCTGTCTGATGGGTAAGTGAGATACTGTGCGTGACCTGTGGTCTCAGGTGTGGCCTCAGGGAGTTGAGGCCTCCCTGGCCTCAGTGTCTTCATTTGAGATCAGAGGTCCAACTGTGTGTCCCCAACTGCAGTGTTGGTATCACCTGCATCTCGCACTCTGTACCAGAGCCACTGGGTGCTATGCTTGGGATGGAGCCCAGCACTGCCCCCTCCCTCAGGGACTGGGATGGAAAGTACAAAAGCTGCTGCGTTCCAGGTCTGAAGTGGCCTGGACGGCCAGGGGAGTGCCAGTTTTGTGTTTGTTTCTTTTGTTTGTTTGGTTTTTAGCACTGGGGTTTGAACTCATAGCCTACAGCTTAAGCCACTCCACCAGCCCATTTTTTGTGAAAGGGTCTCGGGAACTATTTCCCCAGGCTGGCTTTGAACCACAATCCTTCTGAACTCTGCCTCCTGAGTAGTTGGATTAAAGGCGTGTGCCACTGGTGCCCAGCGACAGCCAGTTTTAGGGTTCAGAGAGGATGAGGTCTGCTGACCCAGCTGGGCTTACCTCACTCTGAGCCTCAGTTTCCCTATGTTGAAAACACAATCTTTGCACATCCTTCCTAGGAGAGTTGGGGGCACTTAACTGAGATGATACATGTCACATGCTTGGCATGGGGAGACACAAGCCATACAGGGTGTCACTTGTCACTCTACAATGTCTGAAGATGGCTCATTGTGAGAAAAGATAGTGGCCATGGCGATTGGATAATCTTATTTCCATGATTCACCATGACCTTTCATTCTGGGGACATTTTATTCTTGTCTCTATGGTTTTCCTTTATGGTCTCTTCTCCTTGTTTTTTGGGACCTGCCAACTGTGCCCAGAGGCCCCATTAGTCCATGGGGACCATGGTCAAAGTCAGAACTGAGCCATCAACCATGTGCATCGGGCACAATGACTGTCCTGCCCACTCTTCTCCCTCCAGATCCTGGAGATGCCGCCTCCATCAGGGACAGGGGAGAGGTGGGGTTTGTGTGGGCAGAACACCTGTCCTGTCCCCAGAATCCTTAACTCCTCCCACTCCAGATCTGCTGGAAAAGTCTCGAGCGATTCGTCAGGCGAGGGATGAGAGGACATTCCACATCTTTTACTATCTGATTGCTGGAGCCAAGGATAAGATGAAAAGTGAGTGGTTAGCGACAGCATGTGGTGGGAGCATCCGCTGTCCCTTCATTAGGTCCAGGATAAGCACTGGCTACAACAGGCCTGGGATGCCACAGTAGTGGCAGGTGTCCAGGCCCTGCCCCTTCCAGTGTGTGAGAGTGGCCCTTGTTGACCATCCTCATGTACATAGTATGTGCTGTGTGACACAGGAGGCATCAACGCCAGGTAGACCTTACACCTTTAACTCAGTGCCATTGGACACCATCTGTGCCTTTAAGGGAGGCAGAAGACAACTGTCACTTTATGTCAGCTTAAAGAAGCTGCATGCATGTAAGATGTGTTTGCATTTTATGAGGACTTTGCAGAGGCCGTATAAGTAAGGGTTTCCCTATGGATGCTTTGGAAATGAATTTGTAGTGGCTTTTGTAGGAAAGAAGTAAACAAACCCTTTCTTCCTTCCTTCCTTCTTTCCTTTCTCTCCCTCCCTCCCTCTCTTCCTTCCTTTCTTCCTTCCTTCCCTCCCTCCCTCTCTCCCTCCCTCTCTCTCCCTCCCTCTCTTCCTTTCTTCCTTCTCTCTCTCTCCCTTCCTCTCTTTTTTCCCTCCCTCTCTCTTTCTTTCTTTCTTCCTTTCTTTCCCATCCTTTATCCATCCCTTCCTTCTTTTCTCTCTCTTCCTCATGCTGGGAATGGAACCAGGGCCTTGCACATATTAGGTAAGCAGTTGATCACTGAGCCACACTCCTACCCCAACAAATTTTTTTTTAATAAAAGGCCAAATAGTAAATCTTGGGACTTTTCAGGACACGCAGTTTCAGCCACAACTCCTCAACTGTGCCATTGTCACACAAAAGCAGGCATGGGCAACCATAAACAAGGCAGTGCAGCTGTGTTACAGTAAGACTTTGTTTACAAAGATGGGCCCCTGTGCTGGCATTCTGACCTCTATGTAGGGAAAATACTTTTAGACTCCAGTCAGAAACGACAAGTTCTGGTCATGCACTAAACTGACTTTAAGAGGGCTGGAAGAGTGCCTGCCTAGCCAGCATAGAGCCCTGGGTTCAATACCCAGTAGTACAAAACAAAACAAAAACATACAAAACACACAGCTGAGCCATGGACCTATCAGTGAGCATAGGTATATAGTAGAGTCTATATTCTAGTAATAGGTTTAAGTCTTAAAATGTTAATTTTTTTATTCCCCAATTTAGTAGTGACCCAGGGTTAGTTGTTTTGGTTAAGAAAATTACCAAAAAAGGTTGGGTGTGGTAGAACACAACTGTAATCCCAGCACTCAGAAAGCTGAGGCAGGAGGATATTGAGTTCAAGGCTAGCCTGGGCTACATAGCAAGAATCTGTCTCAAAACAAAAAGAAAAAGGAAAAAAAATTGCCAAAGGAAGCGTGAGCTCGCAGCTTTGCCATGGCCAGGAGTATGCAGAGTCTCGCCACTAGGGGACGATGTCCCTCATTTAAGTCTCCTGATGCCTGGCTCTCTGGACCTTGCTGGACAAGGTGGGCCAACTTTGGGCAGAGGGGTGTTGAGTGGATGCTACCCACCAGCATACGTGGTAATCGGCAGTCACACAGGACACCGTGGGGTGGCCCGGGGCAAGGTTCATATCCCTCCTCAGTCTCTTTGGTGCTAGAGTCAACAGTGAGCTTGTCTGGTGACTGGGTTCCAGGCCTGTGCTCTACCTCTATTCCCCTGGGTGGGCAACGACTGACATCCCTGGGGCCATTTGTATTCTTGATGCTGGAACTCAGAAGAGCTAGGGCTTCAGAGAGAATGACATTCTTGTAAACTCATCCAGCCTGTGGATAATGAGGTCTTGGCAAAGATCCAAGTCCTTGTGACTGGTCAGGCGCTCCACAGAGCCCTAAAGTCTGAGTGCACCTGAGTCTTGGGTCAATTTAACATCGGGCTCATCAAGGAGCTTCTGTGTGACTTGACCCACAAAAGACCTTGGTTTAAAAAATACCTTGCCGATGTCTCTCCAAAAACATTTCAAATCTAGCCTAGTGGAAGATTGCTTTGGAGAAGGAAAAGATATATTAGAAAGATAATAAAAACGAATAGGACAGGGTGGGGAGTGGCTCAAGTGGTAAAGCACCTGCCTAACAAGCACGAAGTCCTGAGTTCAAAACCCAGAGCCAGCCACCACCACCTCCCCCCACCAAAAAAAAGGACAAGAGAAAGAAAGGTAGTTATAAACTTGGGGTGGGGAATGAGATGGGAGCAGCAACAAAAGAAATCTAACTATAGAAGATGACTTTACAGAGAACAACTTCTGTTTGAGACACAGGGTCTTGCTATGTAGCCCGAAGTGGATTTGAATTTGCAATCCTCCTGCCTCCCTAGTGCTAAGATTACAGTCATGTATCACCACAAACAGAAAGGCCAATTTTTAATAAATGTAATAATATAAAGAAGGAGGTGGCAAATATTTTCACTACATGTCCAGATGATAGACACATAAGACCTTGAAAACCATTTGGTTTCTTTGCTGCTTCTCAACCCTGCCATTGGAGCACAAAAGCAGACAAGGATATATTTCAATAAAACTTTATTTACAAACACAACCAGTGGGCCAGACTGACTGACCCCTGATATGTGTGGCTTATCTACTGATTCAGCTGAAGTGGCTGGAGCTTAATCTCCATCCACAACAGCAGGAAGTCAACAGATAAGACTAAGACCTAAATTTGACATATGTAGAAATATTTCATTGTCTGTACTGGTATTTGTATTAGAGTACACCATATCTGGTATATTTTTATGGTACAGTATGTTATGTAGAGTGTATTATATAGTAAAACACAATGTTTGCCTACGTGGTGTTATAATACATATATGATCTTATACAGCTCCCAGAAGAAACAGCTAAAAAGCAGTTATGACATTTTTTGTTGTAAACTTTTTGGTAGAGTTGATTTTAAAATTCATGTGCACGTGTGACTTTGAATAAAAACAGGGCAGGTGAATGAATAAGGAGCAGTCTTTGGGAAATTGAGACTACAGCTTCCCCTTGCTCTGAGGGAAGCAGTCCCACACCAGGGTAACAAGGCTGAATTTCAGCTGCCAGGCCCACTGGAGCAGTGCACAACCTGCACCACTGGATGAAACTGGTGATGGCTGCTGAGGCCATCTCCGTGATGATGGAAGAGGAGGGCTTTAAACCCTCCAAACCTTGAGGAGAAGACAGACTTGATGGTCTGGGCCCTTGACCAGCTACCTGTCTCATGATGGATGTAGAAGTGACCACGTCCCCCTGTCCCTCTCCTCCTAGGTGACCTGCTTTTGGAGGGCTTCAGCAATTACACGTTTCTCTCCAACGGCTTCGTGCCCATCCCGGCTGCCCAGGACGACGAGATGTTCCAGGAAACGCTGGAGGCCATGTCTATCATGGGTTTCAGTGAAGAGGAGCAGCTTGGTGAGTCAGCACTGTGCTTGGGTTCATTCAGGACACTCTGGTTGGGACAGAGCTCCACACTCTGAATTCCCCACCTCCTTTGAACATCGGCCAAGTCAGGGCTATTTGGGTTCTAAGTGACCCAGTTGACTTAAGGAAAGTGATTCAGTCATGATGTTGAAAGTCTGGGGGCTCTGGTTTCAGGTAAGCTGGAGCTAGGGGCTCAGGAAATTTCTCTAGAACCTGGTTTCTCATCCTTTATGGCACTGAGTCTACACAAAGCTATGTTTTCTTGGCTGCATTCTAGCCCTTTGGGTTTGTGTCCAAAGAGGCACAAACTTGAATGTTCCCCACGCAAGTTCCTGAGTGGAATTTTGTTGGTTTGTCATGCAGGATGTGGGAGGCTGTAGATGGGGTAGGTGATACCTATCCTCGGTGGCTTCTTGGAGCTGGACATAGAGATGGCAGGGGAGGAGAGGGAGGTGACTGAGACAAAGGCTGTACCAGGGCTTGTCCCAGGACAGTCGCACTGGTGATAGATGGTGTTGACCCCATCCTTCAATCAATGGCTGAGAGGCACAGTCGGTCCCGAGTTCAGGACCTCAGAGGGGGGATTTTTGTCTCACACTGTGCTTCCGGAAGCACTTCCCCTCGTGGGTCAGATGTGCCCCAGTGCTCGAGGTTAATCTCTTCGGGCAGGGCGAGGGCAAGGGTTATGGAAAATGTCCTTCCCTTCCCACGTCCTTTTGGACCCCCAAACATCGCCAAGTGCCACAGCGAAGAACTCAGGGCTGGCCAGCTCCTGAGATAACCTGCAGTCCAGAAAAAGAAGGTTCCAGGGCTCAGATGACAAATGGGTGATGTTTGTAGCCGTTGGCCGGGGGCCTGCATCACCATCCAAGGCAATGGGGTCCCCACGGGCGATTCGTTTTATTTGGAACATGGGTCAGTTTGGCTTGTAATCTTGCTTTTAAAAAAGTACAAATAATGATTAAACACTTTCTGTGTTCCTTAAGGTACCAGGATATTCAAATAGAAAAAAAAAAAAAGGAACAAACTAAAATGTTTACTGGTAAAGGATTTATTACCTTATTTTCTGCCCTTGTGAAAGGAAACAAAATGAGGCCATTTAAACTGTGTTTTGGAAAAACACTGACCTTTGCGGAAATGCTTAGAGGATATTTCAAGTGAAGAAATCAGCTGGGCATGTTGGTGCACAGCCGTAATCCCGGCTCCCGGGAGACGAGGCAGGAGTATGGAGAGTTCCAGTCCAGCCTGGGCTACGTAGGAAGACTCTGTCTCACAAACAAACAAAAATGACAACAATAAAGTGAAGCGATCAGGAGGCAAGTCATTTGAGGCACACCTCTGTCTCCCTTGCAGCTGGACTTACAGGGATGTCTCACCAAGCCCGGCAATGAAGGTTTATTCACTGAAAACACCTGTTTGAAGTAGGAAACCAATACCAGCCCCCAGGAGCCCCCCACACCCCTTTCTGCAGCATTCCTAGTTAGGGATAACCATTCCTTGATAACCTTTTCCTCCTTCTTTTTCCCTCTCTCCTTTTTTTTCCCCTTGGCATTACTGGTGTTTGAACTCAGGACTTTGTTCTTGCAAGGCAAGAAGCCATACCTCCAGCCCACCTTTTTTAGAGAGGGCCTGACAGTGTAGCCCAGACTGTCTTTGAACTCTCAATCCTCCTGCCTCAGCCTCCTGAGTGCAGGGATTACAGTGTGCACAGCACCACTCCTGGCCCATTATTTGGCCTCCAATGACATGGATTAGGCTTGCCCGTTCTTGAGCTCTGTAGAGATGGACTTGACACAGTATGCTTCTGTTTGCGCCTGGTGTATTTTGTCCAGTAGTCACATCTGTGAGATATTCTCATTGCTCTTTAGCAAGGGTTGACATTTTCCAAAAACCCAGACAGTAAATACTGTAACCTTTGGGGGCCATGCAGTGTCTGGTACATCTGTTTGACTCTGCCAGGTCACATGCACATGGCTGTAGGTGACATGTGAACGTATGGGTGTGGGTGGCTGTGCTTCAGTAAAACACTACTTCTAACAGCGGTCTCTGGGCTGCACTGGTCCCCAGGCTGGACTCTGCCATCCTGTGGCACAGGAATCCAGGATCTTAGCTCAGGGTTTTTAGCAACTGTCTGAAAGCATGGACTTCCAGCCTGGCTTGCGGGGACTCAGGTAGTTTGACTGACTCCTCGATGCAGGAACTCAGGAGTGTCCTTGTAGGAAAGACACAGGCTGGCTCTGCAGCTCTGGTGACTTTTAGACTTCCAAGCTCAGAGCACCCAGGCATTGACGCTGTGTCTGATTCCTTCTCTCCCGGCCTCAGCCATATTGAAGGTGGTGTCGTCCGTCCTGCAGCTTGGCAACATCGTCTTCAAGAAAGAAAGAAACACAGACCAGGCCTCCATGCCGGACAACACAGGTACAGCTGCCTGCACCCAGTTCTCCATGGCTTCTTTTCCTCGATCCTCACCATTGCCTTCATCATCTCTCAACAGTAGCATCCCCTAGTGTGACGACAGAAAATGTCTCCTGGGGGCACAATCGTCCCCAGTTGAGAACGATGGTTCCTCGTCACTGCTATTTCTCACCTCATCACATGGGAATCACCACAATGTATTTGTCCTCTCCCACACGAATGGGCATTAGGCTAGGTCTGACATTTTGCTGCTCAGCACAGGTCCTAGGACAAAGGAGCGAGCACTGAGTGAACAGTAACGACGTACCTGACCCTGTCTGATCCTGTTGGCAAGCCAATGGGGCGCACGGTTACTGACCCTTTATGCAGCTCAGGAAAGCGAGCTGTTAGGAGGTTAAGTAACTTGTCCAAAGTCCTGTGATTTGGAAGTGGGAAGGGAACAAGGACTTGGACTTAGAGCTACCTGACGCTAAGCCCTACGTGGCGCAATGTGTCATTACCTCTCAGCACACCCTAGGGGCGAGGCAACCGGTGACAACGGGTTTTAGAAGTCACTCATGCCACGTTCACCACCACTGGCTCTGCTGCTCCAGGAATAGTCAGTGCACACACAGATCATGAACGCCCGTGGCAGCGAGAGGAGGGAGCGTGTATCCCCTTCGTGATGCACTCACCATTCCCCTTTCCCACCCAGCTGCTCAGAAAGTCTGTCACCTCATGGGAATTAACGTGACGGATTTCACCAGGGCCATCCTGACTCCCCGTATCAAAGTTGGACGGGATGTAGTACAGAAAGCTCAGACAAAAGAACAGGTAATGATGCTCCTGTCATTTGTGTGTGTGTGTGTGTGTGTGTGTGTGTGTGTGTGTCTGTGTGTGGTTTGGGATTTGAACTTAGGCACTCGCTAGACAAGTGCTCTCAACCACTTGTGCCATACCACCAGCTCTTTTTGGCTTCGATTATCTTTTAAATAGGGTCTCATGCTACACCCAAGCCGGCCTGGACTGCAGTCTTCCTATTTGTGCTTCCTCACATAGCATGTCACTGAGCCCAGTCATTGGTTGAGATGGGGCTCACAAACTTTTTGACTGGGCTAGCCTTGAACTGCGATCCTCTTTATATCTGCCTCCTGAGCACCTGAGACTACAGGCTTGAGCTACTGTGCCCAGCTATTCTCGCCATTTAGTCCTACAAAGTCTTCTATTCATCCACCCACTTACTCATCTGTCCATCCATCTTCCTACCCATCCACCCACCTATTCACCCAATCACACATCTACCCATCCATGCATTAACCACCCACCCATCCATCTGTTCATCTATCCATTCACCCACCTGCACCCTCCTACCCAGTCATCCAGATATCTACCCATCCATCCATTCATTTTCTATC